TAAAGGTGTGGAATTTCTCTAGAACTTCCTTATTTATCTTATTTATATTCAGATCACTACTTATTTTGATCACGAACTGAACAGAAACAAGCCCAAAGAGGGCACGATGATCCAGCCGCCCTACCTGCAATGTGCGGCCTGGTAGGATACTGTTCTAGAAGTAACTTGGGCTTTTCGAATCCATCCACTTCTTGCAGGCGACTCTCTAGTTCCTTAAGCTTTAACCTCTTCATCGTTTTCTCTTTATTTTAAAGTTCGGGCTCCTGGGACTTAACAGCACAGGACCTGCAGGGAAGTCTACCTAACCCGAAACTCCCCAGCGGTGCAGGCGAGGGTGGGGTGGAAGGTCGGGGACAGACTATTAAGGACTCAGCGAGGAAGTCCCACGGGCCTCGTGGGGATTGCCGCCCGTGGAACCTAGGAGCTCCCGGAAAGCAATCCGAGACAGGAGCCGCTCCTCGCGGCCCCTCCCCGCAGCGCCGGAAGTGCCGACCTGCACGCGCACCCTCTACCGGGTGTCGAGCTGCAACCTCTGCCTAGCGCCTGGGTTCCGACGAGGACGCGAGTGATTTTTTTGGTCCTCATGGGCGCCATAGGAAGAAGCCGGCTCGGTCGGCGGTCAGAAACCAGCCTTGGCCAAGCCTGGCAACGCCAGCTTTGTCTATAGTATCTATAGACCTGCAAGGCATGGGGAAAGTGTTGAAGGCGATATAGAACACCAGGCCAGTGTGACCCACGCCTCAGAAAGTAGCAGTCTACACCTACCTCTGCGTCCTCCATTCGAATGCTCGGCTTTAACTTCGTCCTTTTTTCTGAGACATCGAGTTTCTTAGCACTTACAGATGTCAGTGAAGCCAGAAGAAACGTCAGAAGAGATTTAAAAAGAAATAATATGTCGGCACGGGTGGTGTTCATTTTAGTTCCTCATTCAGATTCTTTGGGTTTGAGGGCGGCCTGGTTTACAAAGAAGAATTCCAGACCAGGCAGGGCTACACAATGAACAAAGAATATGGTTGTGGTGTCAAAA